CAGAGGCGACTGTGGGCACAGGCAGAGCCCACGGGGCCCTGGCAAATGTGGGTCAGGGGGTTCTGGTAACAGGGTACAGCCCCAGCGTGGCAGAGAAAGACCTGGAGCTGCTCCCTGGCCAGGCTATATTTCCATCTTTTTATCAGTGTCACCAAAACTCCCCTCCCTGCAGCGCAGTTGGCACGGGTTGCATGGTTTCCAGGGTGGCATAAGGGAGCCCGGAGCCAGCTCAGCCCCGTGCCTCAGTTTCCCCGTGCAGGGGGAAGGAAATGTCCCCGCTCTGCTGTAGGTGACAATGTAAACACGGAGGGAGGGAGTGAGCCTGGAGCTTCGCAGTGACGCAGAGGGAAGAAGGGGTTTCCAGCTGGGCTGTGCGCTGCAGGATTTCCCCTTTCTCCCTCTCCAGCCCCGCGGCAGCAGCTCGTTCCGAGCATCGGCGATGGAATTCTCGGAGCTGATCAAGACAGCGACGGTGGAGAACGTGGTGCTGTCGTGCCCGGGGATGCCCGCGGTGAAGGGCACACTGTGCATCACCAGCCACCACCTGCTGCTCTCCTCCTGCCCCGGTGGGGACACCCAGCCTGGCTCCCTGGAGCTCTGGCTGCTCATCCGTAACGTGGACGCCGTGGAGAAAAGGTGAGTGTGCTGCTCTCCCAGCCCTCTCCCCCCTGCCTTAGCTGGATTCTCTCCCAGTGCCAAGGGCAGAGCGTGGCCATATCCTTCCTCTTCCTCATGGCCCACCCACGGCAGCACAGGGCATTGACCTCCTCTTCTTCCCAGAGTGCAGAATTTAGGCTGGAACCAGCCCCCCTGGACTAACGGCTCCCCACGAGACACCAGGTTTGGTTTTTAATGCTCTTTTGGCTCTGCCAACCACCACCAGTTCCCTGCTGGTGGAAATCCCAGCTCTGGTGTCAGAGGAGAGCCAGAGACTTGGCACCCACACTGGCACTGCTGCACCTCACTCCTGCAGGGAGAGGGTTTGGTGCTGTGTGTCTGTCTGTCTGTGCCAGCCCTGACCTCCCCACTGCCTCCCCCAGGCTCACCAGCTCCTCTGGCACCATCACACTCCGGTGCAAAGACCTGAGGGTGCTGCAGCTGGAGATTCCAGGCATGGAGGAGTGTCTGAACATTGCCAGCTCCATCGAGGTGAGCCAGGGAGCAAAGGGTTGGCAGGAAAAAAAGCAGCCACTGCACTGTTTGCTCTGGGTCTGTCATTAACGTGGGTAAACACTTCGCTCTGGGCAGTGCTGGCACAAGTGCCCATGGGCTGGTGGTGCCTGCCCAGCCCTCACTTGGGATGGGAACAGTGGTGGGATTTGCACAGCCCTGGGCACACAGCAGGGACGTTCCCAGTGAGTGCTCCTCACCCTCTACCCATGACCAGCTCCACCTTTGCTCCCACTCCAGGCTCTCTCCTCGGTGGACTCCGTGATGATGATGTACCCATTCTTCTACAGACCCCCGAGCCCGAGGCTCGAGGAAGGATGGCACCTCTTCCCCCTCGAGCAGTACTTCCAGCAGATCTCCTCGCAGGTGAGCCTTGCCAGGGAGACACCCAACTTCCCCAGCATGTCCCAGGCTCCCCACTGGGGCTCCCACTGACCCCACATCTCCCCTAGACGAGCCAGTGGAGGCTGAGCAACGTGAACCAAGACTTCACCACGTGCCCCACGAACCCTCCCGCCGTGATGGTGCCGGCGGCGGCGGGGCGAGCCAGGGGAGGCTGAGCAACGTGACCCAAGACTTCCCCACGTGCCCCACGTACCCCCCCGCCGTGATGGTGCCGGCGGCGGTGGACGACGAGGTGCTGAGGAAATCCGCTCGGTTCCGCCAGGGTGGGAGATTCCCTGTGCTCAGCTACTACCACCCCAGAAACGGCACTGTGAGTGCCCATCCTGCCCCTCCTCACCTCTCCTGCCTCGGCTGGGGGTGGCTGGGAGCTGCCCACCTTCCCCTCTCTCCCGCAGGTGATGCTCCGCTGCGCTCAGCCGCTCACGGGCCCCAACCGCAGGCGATGCCGTGAGGATGAGACGCTGCTGGGGACGGTCCTGGATGAAGGGGAACAAGGTTTCATCATCGACACACGCTCAGCCCAGGCAGCAAAGCAGGCTCGGATGACAGGAGGAGGCACAGAGCCTAAATCCTCCTACCCCCAGTGGAGGAGGTTGCACCGCCCCATGGAGAGGTGAGGGCTGTGCTGAGACCTGGCGCTGTCACCACGTGGGTGATCACACTGCCTGGCACTACATGGAGAACTGCAGCTCCTCCTAGAAGTCTCGCCAAGCCCTTAGCACCACTCTCCCTGCTCCTAGAGGTCGCCCACTGCAGGAGAGCTTCATCAAGCTGGTGGAAGCCTGCAATGACTCCTCCATCAGCATGGATCGCTGGCTGAGCCGCCTGGAGAGCTGTCGCTGGCTCAGCCACGTCAAGGCAGCTCTGAGCACAGCCTGCCTGGCTGCTCAGTGCATGGACAGGTGAGGGGGCTGCACCCCACAGCTCCTGCTTTCCCCCTTGCCAAGCTCTCAGCGTGCCCCAAAATTCGGGCACTCTGGGGTGAGCTCAGTGGCATCACCCCCAGCAGCTGTGCTCACCCACAGGGAGGAGGCCAATGTGCTGGTGCACGGGGCAGAGGGGACAGACACGACTCTGCTGGTGACAGCACTGGCCCAGGTGATCCTGGACCCTTCCTGCCGTACCCTGGCAGGATTCCAGGGGCTGCTGGAGCGGGAGTGGATCAAGGTGAGATTGGTGGGCCCAACGGGGTTGAAAGGAGGTTGTAGAGGTGGAGGATGGTCTCTTTTGACTTGCCTGCAGTCTGGAGGGAATAGCCTTGAGCTGAGACAGGGCAGAGACAGAGAAGATATTAGAAAACACTTTCTCACTGTCAGGGTGTTCAGGCACTGGAATATTGCCCAGGGAGGTGGTGGAGTCACCATCCCTGGAAGTTAAGAAGCATCTGGATCTGGCACTGCAAGATATGGTTTAAGGGTTACAGCAGTGACAGGTTAACGGTTAGACTTGGTGATGTTAAAAATCTCTTTCAACTTTGCTGATTCTCTGAGGGGGTTGGGGATCTCAGCCTGGCTGGGCCCCCTCACCCCCTCGGGGTTCCCTCAGGCTGGACACCCCTTCCACCTCCGCTGTGCCCGCTCTGCCTACTCCCACGCCAGGCTCAAGCAGGAGGCTCCACTTTTCCTCCTCTTCCTCGACTGTGTGTGGCAGCTGAGCCGCCAGTTCCCCTTTTCCCTGGAGTTTGGGGAGCAGCTCCTGCTCACCCTCTTCGACAACACCTACGCCTCAGCCTACGGCACCTTCCTCTGCAACAACGAGAAGGAGAGGTGAGTGGGGTGGGGACAGCACTGTCCCCCAGGAGCAACACCACAGCCACCACCTCTTGGGCACAGCTGGGTCACCCCAAGCCCCACGACTGGGACTGCAACACCTCCCACCTGTCCCCAGGAGCCTGTGTAAGGTGAAGGAGAGCACACACTCGCTCTGGGCATGGCTGAACCAGCCTGAGGAGAAGAAGAAGTACCTGAACCCTCTCTACTCACACAATCCCCTGGTGATCTGGCCCTCTGTGGAGCCTCAGAGCATCCAGCTCTGGCAGGGTGAGGTGGATCCTTCCCAATTCCATCCTCAGCTCCAAGCTGAGGAGAAGCTGCTCTGCCTTTCCCTCCCTGACAGGGCTGAAGTAACACCCAGACCCTTCTCTTCCAGGTTTGTTCCTCCGTTGGATCCGTTCGCCCCAGCACCTGGATGAGGCCTGGGCAGAGATCCAGCGGTTGGTTGAGGAAAACAACCCTCCTGTCAAGGAGAGCACGGGGAACAGGCTGAGCCAGTCCCTCCCTGACCCTGCTGCCAGCACAGAGAACCAAAGATGAAGGACAGTGTGGGCAGTTCTGTCCCTGCTGCCAGCACAGAGAACCACAGATGAAGGGCAGTGTGGGCAGTTCTGTCCCTGCAGGCTGCTGGGATGAGGTGACTCTGGATCTTGGGAAGCACTGTGCAGGACACAGACCCCAAGGAGAGCTCTGGGAGTGGGGACAAACTCCCTTTCCCAGCTTCAGGGCTGCCCAGACTGAGCTTGTTTCAGTAAAATCTCTCTCACAGCCAGAGGCTGCATCCTGCTCTTCCCTCGGGGCAGGAAGAAGCTGTTCCTTCCCAGTGGGATTTCAGCAGTGGAGCAGAAGAGCAGGACGTGGCCATCAGCCTGCCCAGCTGCCAGGCAGGGTTGGCACAGCAGAACACACTAACCCAACTCCCTCTCCACACAGGGCACGTGGCTGCAGCCTGTGTTGCATCAGTCGCTCCGAGCTGGAAGCCAGCCCGGGAATTGTGCCCTTGAACCCAGTTTTTTGAGGAAGGAAAGACAGACAGAGCCAGGGTGAGAGGTGAGAAGGATGAGGATCTGCAGCACAAGCTCCTAGGGCAGGAAATAACTGTTCCATGAGGAAAGTTGGCTCAGGGTCAGGCCAGCAGATAAACACAGCAGCAGAGCGGGCGCGTGCGAGGCGGCTGGGAAACAATTCCTGGCTGCTGCTCTTCCAACCCTTTCACACTCCAGAGCTGCAGCCCAGGCTGGGGATCCTAGTTAACCCAGGATGGGCAGAGGTCCTGGGAGGAGCAGCACTGCTGTCTGTCTGCCCATGGGTGTGGAGCTGGGAAAACAAAGTCCTTGGGTTAAGTTTGTTCCAGATCAGGGAAGAGAAAAAAAAAGACACAGAGGTGACTTTTCTTGTGTTTAGAAAAGATTTATATTTATTTCCTGATGACTTTTTTTCCTCCCCTGATGTATAAATATGCCCAGCAGGCAGGAAGCCCTTGGGGCAGGCAGGCAGCCAACCCAGCTCCCTTCCTTGCCTTCACTGCTCTTCCCGTTGTGTTTCCAACTTCCCAACCTTCACACAGCTCCCAAAATTGCTGCCAAGTGCTTCCTGCTGTGCAGCAGAATAACTTCAGGCCTTACAACAGTCCTGTGATGGAGCCAATGGACTGGGCAAGGGGTTGGAGGAGGAAAAAGAAGAGGAAAGGCAAATCCTCCTTTAGGCCTCAAATTCAAACTCGAAGTACTGCGGATCGAAGTAATGGATGCGAACGTAGCCATCCTCACCCCCACTGCTGTAGCTGCAGGGAGAAAAAGGAGAGTCAGGAATGCTTTGGGAGCAAACAGGGGGAAGTCTGGACTCACAACCCTCTCCAGAAACTAAGACAGGAGTCACAAGACAAAAACAAGGATCAGGGATGAAGCTGAAGTGTGTAACAAGGTGTTAAGTGACCTCTCTGGGCTTGCAGCCTCTCCTGGCAGGGCTGGAATGGGAGAATTAAGCTGCTGGTTCCACTCCCACCACAAAGCTCCTGTGAGCCGAGCCATATCCCAACTAAAAAGTGGGATAGGACACACTGGAATACCCCCAGAGACCTCACCTCTTCCCATCAGGGTGGAAAGCGACACTGTTGATGGGACCGAAGTGACCCTTCACTCTGCCAAACTCCTCCTCAAAAGCCAAGTGGAAGAATCTGGGAGAAGGAAGGTTTAAGTTAGCACAAGGAGGCAGGAGCCTGGAAGGGACAGCATCAGGGTGTCCTCAAAAGCTCTGCAAGTAAGTTCAAGGACTTCTGCAGGAGGAGGATGATCTGGAACAGCATCCCTGGGCTGCCAGAAGTGCTCCAGGGTGAAGATTCAGCCCTGCCAGAGGGAAAGGACCAACCTGGCCTCGAATTTGCCAATCCTGGTGGAGGTTGTGGTCACATCCATGGCCTCCTGCCCACCACCAAGCACCACCTGCAGAGGAGAGAAGCCACAATGCTTCAGTGCTGCCTGCACTGTGTGCTCAGCAGAGCCAGGAGAGGAGGGAGCAGAGCCTTAGGGAATTACAGAGTCATTTAGGTTGGAAAAGACCTCCAGGATCACTGAGTCCAACCTGTGACCCATCACCACCTTGTCAACTAGAGCAGAGCACCGAGTGCCACACCCAGTTGTGTCTTGGAACTGTTTCTTGGAACTTTGACAGTCAAACTTGAAGAACTTAATGGTCTCCTCCAACCTTGATGATTCTATGATTCTTGGATACCTCCAAGGATGAGGACTCCGAGGATGGTGACTCCATCACCTCCCACTAATCCCACAGATCCCACAAACCCATCATCAGGCCTGATTCCAGCCCTCAGAGACATTCCCACCTCCCTGTCCCACTCCTGTGAAGATCAGAGGATGCAAAGTCTCACTCCCTGTGCCAGGCCCAGCAAAGCTCTCCAAACCCATCCACAATCTGGTTTTTGGCTAGATTGGGGGACACTCACACTGGTGACTCAGGGGTCACAGTAAGTGTCACACTGGGTGAGTTCATCCTTACATGGTCAAAGATGGGGGAGAGGGCAGCAGAGTTCACTGGTCTCTCCGTCCGGAACGTCTTCAGGTGCTCCAGGGAGGTGCAGTCAAAGAGCTGTGAGGCAAAAGGGACAGAGTCACTCACTAACCCACCCTGGTACAGCTGCTGAGCCACACCTGGGCAGATGTGACCTCTACAGTCACTTCTGGGCATTCAAATCCCCAAAACATTTCCCCCCAAGGCCAAAATGCTTGTCCTAAGGGACACCTTCCAGAGGTGGCAAACTGCAGCTGTGGTTTGGCAGTGCCAAAATGTAATGCTAAAAATACGCCAAAAAATATAATAGGCTCCCCCCAAAAATGCCAAAATATTTCCTTTTCCATGCCTGGCTGATGATTCCACATGGTGGCACCTCCCCTTCCTCACTGAACAAAGAGCTTTGTCTTTCCACTGACTCAAATTCCTAAGGAGCAAAACCCCCTGGCATAGCTCTGAGCAGAGATCCTGCCAGGAAATATCCACATCCCACTGGCAGTGCTGCTGGAACTCCTCACCTTGGCTGTGTTGTCCTTGGAGGCAGTGATGAACATGGTCATGTCCCTGGAGGTCTGGATGTCGTTGATCTGCTTGGTGTGCTCCTTGATGTTGGACAGCTGCTCCCCTGACTGAAGGGTGAAGAGGCAGGTTCAGGGAGCTAATCAGTGATTTCCTCATTGAAAACAATTTAGGAGATCATGGAACAGAATCCTGGAATGATATGGCTTGGAAGCGAACTTAAATATCCCCTCATTTCACCCTGACATGTCACTGCCAGCAGCAGAGCAGTTGGCACATCAGCCTTGCTCAGGAGAGACACAGATAGTAGTTATCCCTCCTTGAAGTTGTTGTTTTGATCCCAAAATCCCATATCCTGCCCAGGAGCAGCACAGGAATGCTGTGACATCCTCCCCCAGTCCCCTGCTCAGCCTGACCTTGGCACTGAACTGGTTGAGCTCTCCATTCTCATGCCCTGCAATGATGAACTCTCCCAGAGGGCCCCACACAGCACTGGTGATCTTGGAATCACTGCAGGGAATCTTCATGTAAGGCTCATTGTTCTCTGAGGGAGGAAGGAAGGAAGACAGTGAGACACAGTGGCACTGGTTGTAGCCACCCACACCTCCCTGATGCCCTGGGGTAGGTCCTGGGCTGGCTCCTCACCAATCTGGCTGGGGTCCCTCAGGTCGAAGAAGCTCACAAAGCACTGATATCCCATCTGCTTGTCCGTGGAAAACATGATGATGTTCCCTCCAAAGTCAAAGCCACATGTCCTCACTGCTGAGCTGGTCTTCACCAGGGCCAGCTGCTTCCCTGCATGGGGCAGAGACCTCACCTCAGGGGGTTGTGGGGAGATCAGGGAGTCATGAAATGGATTGGGTTGGAAGGAGCTTATGGATCATCTAGTTCCACCCTTGCCATGGGCAGGGACACCTTCCTCCAGCCCAGGTTGCTCCAGCCTGGCCTGGAACACTTTCAGGGATGGAGCAGCCACAGCTTCTCTGGACAACCTGTGCCAGTGCCTCAGCACCCTCACAGGGAAGGATTCCTTCCCAATATCCCACATAGATCACCCCTTTTTCAGTGTCAAACCACTCCTCCTTGTCCTGTCCCTCCATCCCTTGTCCCAAGTGCCTCTCCATCTCTCTTGGTGCCCTTTTAGGCACTGGAAGAGGCTCTGAGGTCTCCCCAGAGACTTCTCCTCCCCAGGTGCACACTCCCAGCCTGGCTCCATGGCAGAGAAGCTCCACTCCAGTCCCGTGGATCCCTCCAGGCTCAGCAAACCTCTCAACTGTGCCCCAAACAGGGATTTGGGAAGAGTCTTACCTGTCTCACAGTCCCAGAGACGACAGCTGTTATCTGCAGAGCCAGTGAGCACATGCCTTGTGTCCCCTGAGCCTCCAGTTAGGGAATATCTGCCTCAAAATCCACTGTCCATGTACCCAAAGAGCATTTACACACCAGATTAAAAGCTTTTTTTTACACAGCTTGGGATATGTCCATTCCAGGAGAGGCAACACTTAAATACAGACATGGAACCTAAGTGTTCCCACTGCAAAAACCACAGCTTTCCTATGAAATTTAAAGGGAAAAGTTCCAGTTGTTGGATTAACATGACCTTTGCATAATCTGGACTCAGCTACCTGCTCATAGGGATGAAAAACCTTCAGGCACATTCCCTGAGCAGTACAAGAGTAAATGTGGGATATAACGTGTTATTCCAATTATTATCAGCATAGTGGGAGGAAAATACCCAAAAGATAAGGGAAAAATACCCAGAAGAGGAAAATACCCAGAAGGTAAGGGGAAAATACCCAAGAGATAAGGGAAAACCACCCAAAAGATGGGAAAAAAAGGGTGGGAGGAATAACCTAAACCGAATCCTAAGTTAAAACACGGATCAAAGTAGTTCCATAGCACCAAAGGATACAATCAGCATCCACACACCAAACAGCTCCTGTGTGCCCATTATAGGTGCCCAATCTCTCCCCGTTCACCGAATACCACACGTTGACAATCTGCAACGACCAAAAAAAACCCCAAAACACCCATTTTAATAATCTCAATCAACAAACACACCGTTAATTATACCTGAGGCTGAATGGATCTTACAAGGGGTAGGGACCACTCACCGGATCCTTAGCTACGGTGAACAGCAAGTCTCCCTCACGGTTATATTTGATCTGCGTGATGGATCGCTCATGGCCCTGCAGCAGGATGGGCTTCTGCGAAGGGAAAACAACATGGGGTGAATGTGGCGTGGAGGGGGGACAAGCGCGGCCCACGGTTCGGTGCTCCTGGGGC